AATAACATGCATACCTATATACAATCAGGCGAGGGAACTCCAGGAGAACCCTGCGCTACTCTTCCAACCGCGTCACTGGTACTAAAGCCAGCGGAGATTGGTCGAGAGCACTTTAGCCACATACACACATCTCTTGAGTGAAGAATCTGGCCATTGCCAGAACTCCAATTTATATAATTTACAAAAGGTCGCGAGGCCACTGCCGTTTCAACCTTCTTGGAGGATTATAGGGATGGGAGATGCTTGATAGGGATTGTGCAAGAGGATTTGGGTGGTAAGTAAGGTTCTGGTGAAATTTGGAGAACTTTTCTGGGATAAGGTCTAGGACAAATGGGATGTTAAGGTCATGATGTAGGGTTTTGTTGGATACATAGAAAGGAGCATCGACTATTGTTCGAAGGACTTTAGACTGGAAGGATTGGATGCGCTTGATGTTAGAAAATTTTGCTGATCCCCACAGTTCTAGTCCGTAAGTCCAAATAGGTTTCAGTATTGTCTTGTAGATCAGTAGCTTGTTTTCAATGGAAAGTTTAGATTTTCTGCTTAGTAGTCGGTATAGTTGGCCGTATCGTCGGTTGAGTTCTTGTCTTTTGAGTCTAGTATGCGGGTTCCAAGTTAGTCTTCGGTCTAAATGAAAGCCAAGATACCGGACTGTGTCTGAATAAGGAAGCTGGATGGAATTAAAGAGTACTGGTGGACAGGAATTGCGTCGGAGTGTAAAAGTAATATGTTGGCATTTAGATTCATTAACTTTAATGCGCCAGTTATTACACCAGTGCTCAATCAAGGTGAGATGACTTTGGAGATTTAAGGATGCTATTTCGGAATCAGAGTTGGATGATAAGATTGCGGTGTCGTCAGCGAATGTTGCAAGAAAAGTATCGGGATGAACAGGGATGTCAGCAGTAAAGAGGATGTAAAGCACGGGACCCAAGACGCTGCCTTGGGGAACACCGGCTTTAACGGAGTAGATATTGGAAAATTCTGTTCCACAGCGAACTCGAAAGGAGCGGTCAGAGAGGTAGGATCGGAGGACTAGGTACAAGGACTGAGGTAAATGGATTTTAAGCTTGGAGAGCAGTCCGGAGTGCCATACCCGGTCAAATGCCTGTGCAATGTCCAGAAAGGCACCCGAACAGTATTCCTTGTTTTCTAGGGCTGAGGAAATATGATCAACAACTCGTAGTCCTTGTTGAACAGTAGAATGTTGAGAGCGAAAACCAAACTGATGGGAAGGGATATTTTGGGATTCTATAATGGGTAGGATTCGTTTCAAAAGGATCTTTTCAAAAATTTTTGAAAGGATTGGGAGTAGGCTGATTGGTCTATAGGATGTTGAGCTATTGAGAGGTTTTCCTGGTTTTGGGAAAAGGATAATAGTGGAGTGTTTCCATAACAGAGGGAAGTGGGTGGTGCGTAGGATACAATTGTAGATATATGTAAGGAATATGACTGCTTTGGATGGAAGTTGTCGAAGGATTTGAGGTGTAAGGAGATCATGTCCAGGAGCTTTACGGAGGATTAGTTTTTTTAATTGAAATTTTACTTCGGAAGGATGAATAGCTTTTGGGGGCAAGGAAAGTGGGATTGGTGATGTAAGGAGTTCTTCTACTGTTACGGTGTGGGCAGGATGGGATTCCGGATGTGAAATAAATGTATTGGATAGGTGAATGGCGAACTCCTCAGCTTTATCTTCGTCAGATGCTGCCCAGGAGCCATCACCTCGTCGGAGAGGATGGGAAATGCGGTGAGGATTTAGGATTTTTGTTGTGGTTTTCCAAAGGGAATTGTCGCGAGAAGAGAGGGAGGATAGGTAGGAGTTGAAGGATTGTGATCTGAAGGTGGCTAATTCCAGTTTTAATTGTTTGCAGTAGTAATTATAGGAGCAGCGGTCGGTAGGATGTCGGGTTCGTTGCCATAATAATCTGGCACGGCGTTTGGTGCGGATTAGGTTAAGGAGGTGTTGGGGTAGAATGGTCTTTATAGGAATTCTGGAGGAGTCTTTTGGAAAGGAGGCAGTCCAGGCGGCTTGTTGGATTGTGGTAGTAAAGGAATTTACGGCACTATCAAGGTCATCGGGAGTTTTGAGGGATATGTTGAGATCAATATTATCGGAGATTATTTGGCGGAAAAGGTCCCAGTTTACTGGGCCCCTAATGAATGTCGGTGGAGAAGGTTTGGGAACAGGTTCAAGTGAAACATTAAGGATTAGAGGACTAAAATAATAAAAAAAAAATCAAAATTTCTACGCCCGTTGCTGAACAAAATGAGGCTTATTAGTGGTTGATATGGAGAGAAAACATGGTATATAATTCGAGGGGGGTGGTAGGTATAAAATATTGTACAATAATAAATTTAGTTTTTGTTTAGAATAAAATAAATTTTCACTTGAATAAAACGGTTAAAAAAAGCTTTTGATAAATTATTTTTTAAAGAATACTTAAAATTGTGCCAGGTTTCATTACATTCCTGTTTTTTTTTTTTTTAAAAAGGCCTGTTAAAAAAAGATTTTTTAAAAATTATTTTGTAATATTTAGGTTCATTTTTGAAAAAAATTGAATTACCGGATTAATTCTTTTGAATCGATACTTATCTCGATTTACATATAAACCGATTAGGGTTTACACAATAAGAAAGAGGAAATAAACGATTTCTTTTGGGAGAAAATATTCAGCAGTACACTCGCTGTGATCAACCCAATAGAGTATAATTAATGGAATATATATTTATTTGATTATAACATATTTGTAAGTCTTTCTTTTACCTGAATCTGTCAGACATAATCCTTTAAGGTATATGAAAATCGACGGTCCGGGGCCAGGAGCTCGAGAGTGGAGGACTACTTACGGCTGCAGAAGGCACTAAATATCAAGGGACTAAGTTTATAGCCGCGAGGGACTCCTGGCCGCCCTATAACTGACGCCAAACCGAATTACAGCTCGCACGAGTGCTAAGTTGCCCGCTTCACTGCCGTACCCTCCTCCATCTAACGAGATTTGAACGGCCTTCTTGTTCAGTCATACGGAAAACAGCTTTTCAAATATTTATGTTATACAATATTCGACCAATAAACTTGAATTTATTTTATTATTAGTAAATAAATGTTACAATTGTTAATAACGAATGTTGAGATATCAGTCAGTAAAGAAGAAATATCTTGAATAATCAAGTTCGTTCATTAATATTCCAGCTCTTCTTACGGCCAAGTTTTGTAGGCTATCTTATAGGCTATAAGGCATATAGTAAAAAAGGTTATTGCATTAATGAATGACCTATTATGAAAAATTATGAAGAGATGGTATTGGGTAACGGTCCAAAGATAAACTTCCTCTTTGACTTCATCCTTAGTGCCTTTCAGCATAAAGGGATCTCAACTAGTGTTGCCCAAATGCGAGACCGAGACGAGTCTTGGTCTTGCAAACTCAATCTTGGCCATAGTCTTGGTCTTGCGCAACAGTCTTGCAGTTACTTATTAGCTTATTAATATAGAGATATTACTGTAATTTCTTAGGAGAAACCTAACTAAGCCCGAATGAAAAATGCAAAAGTATATTGGTTATAAAAATTATTAACATATAGAAACTAAAAATTGTCGATCATTAGTAACTATTTTGCCTTAATTTTTATTAAAAAAATCGATTTTTTACTAGTCCCCTGGTCTTGGTCTTGCACTTTGCACCGATTTTGGGCAACACTAATCTCAACCCATTTACGTCAATCATCCCAGTTCCTCGCCAAGACCCTCATTGAACCGAATTGCTTACCTCTTTTCTCTCCAGCTTGTTCATTTAATTCATCTAAGTTCTCTAGGGTCATGCCGATGGCCTCTTTTTTTTGTGGGTCTTGCCTCAAGAAATTTTCTTGGTCCTCTTTTTAACACCTCTAATTCGCTTGTTTCTGATGCGATCTCTGTCAGCTCGGTAAGCTACTCTTCGTAGGTATTTCATTTCAGATGCGGTTAATATGATTTTATGCTTGTCCAGTTGGACACAACTATGATATCATTTTGTCATATTTTCAACCACTTATTTCCCTACGACCATGTTTCGTATCTGATATCATATGCAATTTCCTTTTTTGATTTTATTTGATATCTCTTGGTATATTTTTTCACATCTTTCAACAACTTTCCCGAGGCACATATATTGCTCAACTTACTTTACAGTCATTCTTTTATTTTTAAGATAAGCTTCACTTTCCACTGTACGATGCTCACGATGCTTGTGTTGTCAGTGCAATAAGAATAGTATTATGTTACGAGAGCTTGAGCTAGTATAGTTCTTATTTTTATTTTTGCCTATGATTGCTGTTTCAGTTCTGCGACTAGAGATTTTTAGGATCTCATCCATAAATGGTATTTTCTATTTTATCGTTTGGAATGCTTCTTACAGACACAAATGCTTCTGAAGAAATTCAGTCGTATAATTCAATTTATTATATACATTATGTATTTTGGAGAGATCATCTAATCTTTCAATATTTTGACAGATGTGAAAGTCTGAGAATAAAATTTTATCATAAAGCGCAGTTTAGAGCATTTCAGGTCTCAATCGTTCAAATCTTGGCATCGCAAAATTAGAAATAGAGACCAAAAACGTTATTTAAAACAATATATCATTTTCTTAAAGTAGTAGTAAAAAACGAACGGAAAATCGAATTCATAAAGTAAGTAATATGTGGTTTATTTCGTACCAAAAACAATTTTAGGTTTTAAATTTACATAATTTTCAGCGTGGCTGACGATTTATTCTTTTCATTATTAAAAATTCATGTAGAATTCAATATTATATATCGATTTCTTAGGCCATCTGTTTTCATCCGTTTTGACAAAAATCACCGAAACTCGGATCATTCAATTCTTAAGTAACAAAATAATACTTATTATTTTTAAATTACCATTAAATCCTTTATATTTATTTATAAGTTTTATGTAATAAATGAATATTTTGTATAGTATAAATTATTCTCACAGATAAGATATTTTTAAAATCAATAAAGATATGAAACATATGTAAAAATGAATTAGTAGTTCGTGACATGTGTTAGGAACAAAATTATGTTCTAAGTTTGTTTTAAATTTATTTTTATGTTTTCTAGATAGTAGTTGATATTCAAATTTAAGGTGAGTATTTAGTTTTATAAGAATATTTTTCTGCCCTTTCCTGAAGTATGGGTTATACGTATCTATCTAAAAATCAATGTCAAACAACGAGTAACTAAATTATTTTTGTTTATAATGTTCAACTCGATGAGTATCAATTTAAATTGTTTCGATTGTATAATGGATGAAGATAAAGCAATAGATATAATTGTGATACATATCATTATACTAATTTCTTTTTGGTACTCCAAGATGCCATTAGATTTCATTCATGCTACTCATAGATCCCCGAGAGTATCCGAATGTGTCCGAAACAAGAACGAGCCTATCGATGCCCAATTATTGATTTGAAAGTTCAAGGGGAAATATTTATTCAATTATAATAATATAATAATAATAATTTTTAAAATATTGAAATCATTTTCTATGATTTCGATCTGATAATCATTCTATTCCATCTAATAATCGGATTACTAAGTTACTGTATTTTTTTTAAATATCTAAACCCGTATTTATAATCTACATATATAAAAATGAATGTATGTCTGTCTGTTTGTCCTTTATGCATTACTAAACCATTCATCCGATCTCCATGAAATTTTGGGAAGTTGTTCCGTACTCTCCTGGGAAGGGTTCTGGCATAGTACTTCTCTCTTAGGATAATTTCATATATTTAAACAAAATAAAAATGTAAATGTTATTTTGTTCAAGGCTGGAAAAAAATGTGTCGCTATCAACTGTAGCGCCAAAACGGCTTTAACGATTTTAACGAAACTTGTCTAAAGTCTTCCCCTTGAAACCCTTTAATTTATGTGTATATATACTTTCACAAAAACAAGCTGAAAAAATGTTACGATGAATTCAAAATTTTATTTGCTGATAATTAAAAAAATACACAATTTTTGATTGATGATACCCATATTTATTTGAAAAATTCCTGAATTACCTTCAAATTAAAAAAAACAACATCGAAATCGGACGATTCGTTGCAGAGTTATAGAGTTTTAAATATTTACTACTTTCTCTTCAGAAAAGCAATTTCTCTTTTTTTTTTGTTAATGATTAATCGAAAATTTTAGAATTACTATAGTAATTGAAATTATGAAGCGTTTTTAATTAATATGTATAGTATCACCTTATTTTATAATAGTAGATATTTTAAACCACGCGCGTATTTAAATGCAACGTTAAGCAAAAATATCAAGGCAATAGGTGAAGAACTTTCCGAGATTTAAGAGTTTGAACAAACAAACATTTACATTTTTATTTGCCACAAAAAGTGATCCACATAAAGTTGAACATTAAACAATACATTAAATATAATAAAAAATAATAATAAAATTAAACATGAAAATATATGAGTGGCTTCATATCAAAGACGGATCTCTGTCATTTTCAGAAAGCGGAGGTAAAGTCAATTTTAGTTTTATAAGTCCAACTCAGACTGTTTCTGATGATTAAGAATGACGTCAAATTCACTCTGATTAAGAATGTTCAAGTTGAATCATGAAAAAAAAAATCATTAGAATTAGTTTAAATTGGAGCCATTTTACAGACAAATTTGTTTCCCAACATTTTAAAAATGACAGATATCCTTTGGTGTTAATCCACTCATATGTGTTTTCTATTTTCTTACTGTTTAATTTTACCAGACTAAGCCACAGCAGCGCGTGGCCGGGTAAAGCTAGTAATTCATAAAAGTAACTGATTGTCAACAGTTTTCAAAAATATAGATTATTTAGAATTTCGATTTTAATGAAAATTGAGATAATTAACAAATTACCTTAATCGCAGAATTTTCTGTAGGATTATTTTCGGAGGAAATATTGATTCTCATTGTTTAACAGAACTATCCTTTACTAGTTAATTTCGTTTAAACTTATTTTCCGGTCTCTTCTGTACTTTTTAAAAAAAAACCAATAACTATTCTCCTTAATTGCTTTCCTAGGAAGCACATGGCGGGAGCAAATTAATCCTGCTAGTGTTATATAAAACATAAACAATGCGACACAACTGTTACTGTTACTGCTCGGACACGCCGCCTCATAAATCTCTTGGAGGGTAAAGTCGGAGCAAAAAAGTTCGTGTCCGACTTGTGATTAACTGTTTTACGATCGACTGGGGCTCAGCCGCGAACTTTGTTAGGGCCTAGATTTCAACGGACTGGAACTTTAGTGCGATTGAAACCAGTCCAATTTGCGAATCAGTTAGTTAATTTAATCACAGCTGTATCAGTAGATTTATAAATTAAGATAGAACTAGTTAATAATTATTAAACATTATTAATACAAATATTGGAATAGAATAATTAAACGTTAGTAAAAAGCTAAAAATTTAAAAGGAAAGTATTTGAAATTTAATGATTGAGCAGTAAATTATCAACTTCGAAAGTTTGCTATAGAAATATATGATATAATCCTTGTATTGTATTTAATTAGAAATTAATAAATACGACTATTTTCTTTTTATTCCAAAAATATATAAAGCAATAAAACTTTTTATTAGAGATAAAATCTTTTATTAAGTTTCATCACATTTTTATTCATTTGTGATATTTTGGTCTTATATTGGCCCTTTTAAAACAAATAGCTTTTTTTTTTTTTGTTTACCACACTGATATAAAATTTTCATTTTTCGTCTTATATTTAAAAACGAGTTATTTATTTAATTTTTCTGTCTCGTTTTGTTGATATTTATATTATATGTTTATTCAATTTACACAAAATACATTTTTTTTTTCAAATATGCATTTTAAGACAATTTCAAATATTTTAAACATTCTGCGTGACCAACTGTACTAATTTTTTAAATATATTATCAACTAAATTATATTAAAATAATAAGCAGTATATAAGAATACCATTAAAAATTGACTGACAAAAAGAAGATTTTCGACTAAAAAAAATCAAATATTTCTTAAATATAAGAGGACTAATTAAAATTGCATATTAGGGTGATTGACAGAATATAAAAATGATATATTAGAAAATGATCAAAATAAGACCAAAACGCTACAAATAATTAAAAATGTGATGTAACATAATAAAGGTTTTCATAATGTTTGCTTTATCTATTTTTGGAATAAAAAAAGTCCTATTGATTATTTTTTTCAATGACATATTTATTTATATCAAGCATTAATATATTTTCTGTATTCTGTTATATTTTCATCACGCATTTGACAGTCGATTTATACTGAAACATCAAGAATGGGTGGAAGTTTTTTTTATAAGAATCTGAGTACAAAAGGATCGGTTAATTGTTGGAAAAACAGAAGGAATGTTCACTAACAGTGGATTGTTTTTTGAAGAACCTGCTACAAGAACATTAATCGTTTAATTAAGCGATGAATCGAAAACATTAATATTTGAATCAATACCACTCGGTTGCTCTGGGAATGAATTAGCTACAATATTTTAACCTTTTAACATATTTAATTCATTATTTTTCAAGATTTATATATTTTAAGATAATTTAATTTTTTCTCAATATTCGAATTAAAAAAGTGTTTCATCTGAATATTGGTGAAATTCGCTTATAATGTACAGACTAACTAATCGTTTTACAGAAATTAAACCAAAAATATTTGACGGTGGATATTAGATAAAATATAAAATTGCAATAATGAATAAATCAACTAGATATATGAGGTCAATTTTTAGGGGCAATGTTTTTCGAATAAATCGTAATCATGTTTAAATAATAAAAAAATTATGATTTTAGCAGTTGGTGTCAGTTTGTTATCTAGATTATAGTTAAAGGTCAAGTCGGTGTCACCTTTGAATACATTATTATTTTAACAAAGTAATAGATTATTAAATTAAAACTCTTAAAATTTTGTTAAATAGTAATCAAAATGAGGGAAATCTGTCATATCCAAGCTGGCCAGTGCGGAAACCAGGTTGGCTCCAAATTCTGGGAGGTGATCTCAGACGAACATGGCATTGATCAGACTGGAAACTATCATGGGGATTCCGAACTCCAGCTGGAGAGAATCAGCGTTTACTATAACGAGGCCATAGGTAACAAGAGAGAGAAACACTTTATTTTCATAAAATATAAAATATAAAGGATTGCTGCCCAATTATATTGGGTTGCTATATACACAGCATACTCTTCTATCCTTAAGACAATATATGAACTTATATATAAATATACAGAAGTATTATTTAATATTAGTAAAATAGAAATATATATATACATTTTTATTATTTTATTCATTTTTATAATTTTTTTTTTTTTTTTCTTTTCCCTTTTTCCTTCTTCTTATTGTTCATGCTTTTTTTTTTTTTTTTTTTATTTAACATTAAGTTTCCCTTTCTCTCATTTCTCTCTCTTTATCGCTATTTTTTTTCAATTATTCACTAAATAAATAAATAAACAAATACATAAATTAAAACTCTCGGGTTAGCCATGCACGTGGTGGTGAATGATTCCCAGAGAGTCGAGGACTATATTTTCAGCCAACCTCGCTACGTCCTTAATGTCGACACCTAGTTCCTCGAGGAAGCTCCTTGTTCTTTTTGGGATAGTTCCGCGAGACCCAAACCAGAGGCCTCAATAATTAATTAATAAGTAATAAAATATCTTTCATCTTATTTGAATGGATTTTTCAATTTCGTGAGTTTTCCAATTCTTAGAAATTATTTTTGCTTCCGCACTACTGAAGGCTGCATCTCATGATTTATAAACTATCTCCGATTTTTCCACCTATCCCACCTTCCTTTTGGGTGAAAATTCTGATATAAGTTTTCATATAATATATTTTTTTCTTGCTGTATCTTTACAATTTTACTTCTTTTTTTATTTTTTGAAGTATAACTTCTTTAGACGAGTTTTGCACATTTTTTGAGGAGAGTTAATTAGATTGAGTCGTCAGATCTCTGATGTGTAACGCTCGGGTAAAGTAGGATGGAGTCAAATAATTGAAGTGTTTTTACATACGGATAAAATATCTCAAAAAGCAAGGAAAATTCTCATCATTTTATCCTCTTTGTAATGAGCTATTATTCAAAATTGTGTCTTAACCTGACGCTGTGTTAGAGAGAGGAAATGTGAAAAAATAGTTTCGAAAAACATACGTATTAAAATATCTCAGAAACTGCAGAAACAGAAATCGGACCGGCATACTGTAAGCGAAGGAAATGTTTTGCTTTTCATCCTCTTTATTATGAGCTATTATTTATAATTTATATTTCATACCATTAATCTCGGCTTGTCAATGTTTTCACTTCTATCGTGTGGCCACATGAACAAGAGTACGTTATTAAAGAGCGTATTACTAAATTGAGTAAAATGATTTTGTTTTTTATTGAAAGTGAATATTTCCTTCAAGAGTAGGGAGCCATTGTACCAAGTTTTCTTAGCTTTAATAATAATGCATTTAACAACAATTACAATAGATGTGGATTTATTATAATTGTTGTTAAATGCATTACTGTGTTCAGCATAACCTATTGTTTATCCACCTTACATAAAATCATTTTGTAATAATAATCCTATATATTATTTCTAAAAGGTGTTTTTTTTGTCGGTACGCCATAACTTCATCAATTCTTCATCAGATCCAATGATTGACCTCTCGTTTTGAAGATATTCTTCTCCTTCACGTGCAAAAAATACTTCCGTCCCTCCGAAATTTCTGGAAAAAAAGTCATGGAGGAAAAGAAACTTTATTTGCGAATAACTCAAAAAATATAACATTTTTCTCGATTCTATCCATGATAATTAGAAAGATTGCTAAATTACCTACAAAACAAAAAAAAAATCAGGCAATTATTAACAAAGATACAGTCCATTAGTTTTGGTATACTTACTAATGTCTTCCTGTATAGAGATATTGCATTTAGGAGTAGAATAGTCAACTAAATTTTTTTCCTGGATTTTATATTAACTTTATTATTTCTTAAAGACATTTGGTTGTTCATATATATATTTTTTAAATAATTTATAATATCCTATATGATCGGGGCATTATTTTGTCTTTATTACTTCTATTATCTTTCCAGTCAGCGTTGAACATTAGGTTCTAGCAAAGCAATTTGTCTATATTTTGGTCTATTATGTTTAATGGAATATTGTAATCGACTAAGGAAAAAATATTAATTTGTTCCTTACCTAATACATAGAAACTACTTAATTCCATATTGTTTTGCTATTTCTTCACTAAACAAAATTTTCTACGATTTTTTCGTACGTGGCCAACTAGTCTCTTTATAAACCTTATACATACGTAGTGATATTTCTCGTTTTCATTTAAAATTTAAAGTAGTTCCTTTCTACCTGTATATGTTTTTCTCGATATGGGTCAAATAGTAAACAAGTTATGTTAAAACTAGTTTCCTAGCCTGGAGGTACACTAGCATGCTGAACTTGTTTACCGGCAGGTTGATGAAAATTTATATATTCTTTTGCCAAGGAGGTCTGTATGAGGGTGGAAGGGCTCGGGCGGAGGGCTTTGATCTTGCTGAGGATGGTCTCAGAGGCCCTCGGGTCACTGGGAGGATCGTGGTGTTGCTTTATGGGGCCCCCTTCTTTCGCGGCCTGCTAAAAGCATTGTGTAATCTTCAGCCCTGGTTTCTACTTGATTTGGAATTTATCTACCTTATATACCTTACCCGATTTCAGTTGGATTAAATAAAACTTGCATCCAGTATTACTTTAAAGGATTCTTGCATTAATTTATAAAAAAATTATATTTAATTTTCTTGGAAACCACTATAAAATAATAATATTAGCGTGAACAGATATTATTAGATAATAATCAGTTAAAATGCACCGTTTTTACATAATTAGTAATATCATTTATAGGCAATAAAAAAAAAATGAAAAAAGTAGATTTAGAAAAAAAAATTAATTATTAAATTACATTAAATATATTTGTAGAAATTAATGATGAAATAATTAGTATTTTTTTTTTATCTTAAATAATATAACAAAACCTAAAATCTCTCAAACAATTTTCCTATCAATGCATTGGTCATCCTGAAATCATTAGGTTTGAAAATTTTAAATTCAAATTAATATTGACCAAATCAGTAACAGATCCAGGATTTAATTTTAGTGAGATTTTTTTTTATTACTCTGGAAGAAATATATATAAAAAAATTATCTATATGAAATTATGTTTGATTGTTTCTTGTTAAAAATGATAAAAAACATATAATTACAGGAACAATAATGCTATTATAGATATATTTCTTGACGTGTGCTTACATTTATTAACTTCATATGTATTATAATTTAAAAAGAGAATATCTTGTGATCGATTTAAATTATATAGCTTCCATCATTCACATAAAAAATATCGACAGATACAAAACGGAAAAATTGCCATTTTAGCCCGAATGCTATCCCTAGGTCAGCCAGCGGACCAGAGGTAGGTATCATGTATTATACTTATTACCGATCAATTTAGATATTAACGAAGTTTTGTTAACCTTTCTTGTTGGTGTTGAAGTGAGATGTGCTATCTCTAATCTACATAGTTGCTAATGATATCTGAATTAATTAAATTCATATTTAAATTGTTTGTTATATATTATTTTCCTTTTAAAGGCATAAACATTATAACTTAAAAATTCATTAATTATTTGATACATAATACATTTTTAAATATATATTTTATTTTATTCTTATCCATTCCTGTTGGTTACTTGTGAAATTTCTTAAGGAAAACTATTCAAGAAGATATTTTCAAGAAAACAAACCCGCACTATTACAGAGTTGATTTGTTTTTTCTGAAAATTTCAAATGGAAAAAGACCACTCTTTATTTTTTAAAGGGCAAAGGTTTCATGATCAACCATAGTTAAATGTCATGAAATAAAAAAATAAAAATGTATATATATATATATATATATATATATATATATATATATATATATATATACTACTATCAACCTTGAGAAAATAAATCCGAATTAATATAATTTAAAAATATTAAGATGTGACAATAATTTATTTTTCTCATACTGAGAAAACAGATGCCATTTTAGCTCTTTTAAGATAATTAGAGTTAAAAACAAATGTTTATGAAAATTTATAGTTGCTATGATCAAATTAAAAAGTTAATACATATTGATTTGTGTAAAAAAAAAAAAAAAAAAAAAAAAATGGATGAGTAATCTCTTTTTTTATATTTGACACTTGGAACAGTTACTGCTTTCCATCACGCATAAAAATGCATGACATATAAAAACCGTTAGAATGGACTAAAGTATTCCATCTGACTTAACTATTAGGATACCTAGAAAACTAAATGTGAGACTGTTAAACTGAGGTTATTATTTATTTGCTGAGAATTCAAACTTATCTTAATGTTTCTGACATCAAATCGAGGGACATAACGAAATTTAGAGATACTTCGAATTCTATTACGTCTTAGCAAAATCTTACAATTAATTATTATTAATTTTTTTTTCAGGTGGTAAATATGTCCCTCGCGCAGTTTTGGTGGATTTGGAACCAGGGACCATGGACGCAGTCAGGTCTGGGAGCTTTGGTCAGATTTTCAGGTAGTGTGTTATTGGAAAAAGTATATTTCAGATTTAACAATAATGTTGCACAATTTCATATTGTGAAATTAAAAAAAGTAAAATTCGTTCTAATCATATAATGCATGGTTTAATTATATTATTATAATCAGTCACTGACTAAGATTGAATAAATTTCACTTTTTTTTTCATCCTTTTCTATTTTTATTTTGTCAAAATCTTTTGTCTTATTGCATTTTCAAATTTCGTATCTATTGTTCCATTATTATTGTTATTAAAGAAATCATATTCTCGACGTTCAAAAGACGATTAATCGCTAATTTTTATATTTGAAGTAAATTCTTGAACCTTAACGAAAAATAAAAAAACTTGCACCACTAACACTCATTAAGGGTCATGTGTTCAGTACTTTGTTAGGAAGTACTATTTCAAGGCTGATTGTTATGCAGGGAGGTGATCGGACCAGGTTTACGCTCAATCGCTAGGTTTTTCCTGTTAATTAATTAAGAGTACTCAGTTTATAGAGTATGGCTGATAAAACAGGATAAACAATTACCTGCTACAGCCGGGTTCGAATCTGAGACCTAGAGCTTATCGTCCCAATATTTTATTCACTGAACTACTCCCCTATCTTCTCATTACATTATAATATAATTTTTGTACTATTTCTCGATCGATACACGAACACCGGCTATCGAATGTATCCGAAGGTAGGCCGATCTCCAATCTTTCGTTGCGGAATGTTGGATTGAGTCAGCTTAAATCCTCTAGTTCATTTCTTCTTATGTATAAATAACAGCGTGAACCAACTTAACGAACTTTGTATCACCTGTTCGTCGAAAATTTTTCTTATAAAATAAATATCGAAATAAATATATTTTGTATATTTTCGAACACCGATAATTGACATAATCTTTTTTTCCCCTGTAATTTTACACAAAGTATAACCACGGTGCTTGGAACTAATTAAAAATAATTCAATTGAATCAGTGCTGTAATAAAAATTAAGTTTACATATTTAACACTTTCCTTCCGCATCCTGAATCGTTTAATTAATAATGAATATTAACAGTTTTATATATTATCTATAACCGAAGTTTTCCTCCATCATTAAAAAAAATAAATCCATTTTTTGTCATTTAATGATACATTTTTATTCACATCAGTAAATCACTTTCTGTGAATTTTAAACAAATTATGGCGCTAAGACACATCTCTCATTTGTTTATGAATATCAATGTTGGAATTGGACTACTTTCGACTTTTCTCGGGATACCATTTGAATACTGTTCGAAGTGTAATTGAAACCAGTTGCCATCTTGGAATAGCCATTTGGAAATATTACGATAATATTTCCGAATTTTAAGACTATCCTAAATATGAATGAGGAGACCGTCATATATGCTCTATATGATGGTCAATCTCTTTTATTTTTTTTTTATAGTCAATAAAAAAATTAAATAAATAAATTCCATTAGACATAAATTAAATCCAGATCGAGGAATGACTAAACTTAGATAATGTAATTTTTATAAACATTTATATTGGATTAATTCCGATGTTATTAATTATTCCCAGAATTTTTAGAATTTTAGTCGCCTTTAATTATATTAAACTTCTAGTTGGTCCATATTAAGTAATTAATTGGTTTCAGTAGTCTATGGATTAATATTGGCAGGATGCTTTCTGCTTTGGTGTAGCCAGATCGGTGGTGGAATTCATAACACTTGCTACCGCAACATGTGGCAATCTTCAATGCGGTGAACTTGGTTCTCCAACTTCAGGCCGATTATTAATTAGTATTCCTGACATTGTATAACTTGTGGTTTTCATGAGTTAAACATAAATATATCTAATTTCTTTTATTTCTCGTCCTATGCTTCTACAAATAGATAAAGCGAACCTGAGGAACTATGTTTCCAGGCGTCCCTCTCCAAAGCACAAGAGAATCTTTTTAAAAGAGAAAATTATTAATCATATTATTAACCTAAACTGATCATGGTATAAGGTATTATTTCTGTTGCCTTGACTTTGAACAAAACTTTTCCATCCTCTTCTTCCTTACTTGTTGTTCATGATTTCGACCCAAGAGTACTCAAATCATACAGTATGCATGTTTTTTTTTGTAAATATAGATTTTTAAAAGTATAATCGATACATATAGACTAAATTTAATTTCCTAATAGGCCAGACAACTATGTCTATGGACAGTCTGGTGCAGGAAACAACTGGGCGAAGGGACACTACACAGAAGGCGCTGAGCTCGTAGACGCTGTTATGGACGTTGTGCGTAAGGAAGCCGAAGCGTGTGACTGTTTACAAGGGTGAGTAAGAATTATAATAGCGATTTATTGAAGAAGCTTTCATTTCATTTTTCCTGACCGTAATTTCAGATTCCAGATGACACATTCTTTAGGAGGAGGGACCGGTTCCGGTATGGGAACACTCATCATCACCAAGATCCGCGAGGAGTACCCAGACAGGATCATGAACACCTTCTCAGTCGTACCCTCTCCCAAAGTGTCCGACACGGTGGTCGAGCCTTACAATGCCACCCTTTCTGTTCATCAGCTAGTCGAGAATACGGATTCTACCTTTTGCATTGACAACGAAGCTCTTTACGATATCTGCTGCCGTACCTTGAAACTATCTACTCCGACTTACGGTGATCTGAATCATCTGGTGTCCGCCACCATGTCTGGGGTCACCACATGCCTCAGGTTCCCTGGCCAGCTCAACTCAGACCTGAGGAAGCTCGCCGTCAACATGGTACCTTTCCCTCGCCTCCACTTTTTTATGCCAGGTTTTGCGCCCCTCACCTCCAGGTAACAGTTTTAATTTTATAACTTATTTATGCAGTAAATATTTGGGCTTTCAACATTATCACTTATTAATTCTCATTCCATGTAAATAATAATGCTCGTTTGATTAGAAATTATAATGATAATTATGTTTAATTCAGGAGCTGCCAACAGTATCGAGCCACTACCGTGCCAGAACTCGTGCAGCAGATGTTCGACGCAAAGAACATGATGGCAGCCTGTGATCCTCGCCATGGCAGGTACTTGACAGTAGCCGCCATCTTCAGAGGAAAAATGTCGATGAAGGAGGTGGACGAGCAGATGCTGAACGTGCAGAACAAGAACTCCTCCTACTTCGTCGAGTGGATACCCAACAACTGCAAGACAGCGGTCTGCGACATACCTCCAAGAGGTCTGAAGATGTCGGCGACTTTCATTGGCAATTCTACTTCTATAATGGAACTATTCAAGAGAGTTTCAGATCAGTTCAGTTCAATGTACCAGAGGAAGGCATTCCTTCACTGGTACACCGGCGAAGGCATGGATCAGACAGAGTTCACGGAGGCAGAAACAAACATGATCGATCTGATATCTGAATATCAGCAATACCAAGAAGCGACGGTCAGCGAGTCGAACATATATGCAGATGACGACGAAGAAGATATTCCACAGAACTAATGGTAGCATGAGAAAATTAAATCACTGTCTAAAACTGTTTTTAAATAAAGTCAAGTAAATAAATAAATACAATTTACAGAAATTTTATGTTAAGATGAAATAAGGATTTAGCTTTTAAGAATGAAGCTAGTTTTAAGATATGAATTTAAAAACACTAATGGTATTCAAGGAAACGTTATGTTTAGATACGAAAAAAAAAATACTAGGTTTATAGTTCATTTACAAAATTAACTTATTTTATTAAAATATTCATACTATTTATTCATCCTTTTAAAATCAAATTCAGTTCGAATTCAGTCAAATTCGAGTTTGGCAATTTATAAATTATTTCCCAAAACAAGTTTCATAAGGCTTCTATTAACCAAAATGGACAACACTTAAATTCTAAGATTTAATGTAAACACAGAAATATGTTTACATTTATATATGTTTAAAATATGCATAATAACTGTGTTAGAGATTTGTTAATAATGGAATACGATTCTGACATGTTGGCAAACTTCTGTGTAACTAAGTGCTTAATCGATTAGTGCAGATTAACTTTTTAATAAATTTGTATTTCATCTATATTATAAGTTTTTCATTGATGGACATTGTTGTATTGACAAACGTTTTAAATATCGAATAAAAAATGTAATTATATAAGTTGGTTAAGTAGAGTAATTAATAATGAAATAATATACTCTAATAAGAATCTTATTTTAATGTGGTTGGACGTTTCGGCCTAACTTTAAACAGTGCACTTCAAATAATGTACTAGTAGAAAGTATAGAAATACTAAATTAGTAATAAAAAATATTTATGTCCATAATTAAAAATACAATAAAGAAAATCTAATCGACATGAAAAGGAAATCGCAGTGATTTGAATTTATTCCAATTCAGTGACCAGACTACTATTGAACTAATGACTTTCAAACTTAGTTGACTTCTTTAAATTAAAATAAGCTTATCAATTTGCAGTTTAGGCGGATGCAAGTGGCGAAGCTTTTATTAGTAACAATCAAATTATTGAATGCGAACAAGCCGTTCATTAAAAGCCACGCAACCTTCATCAGTGGTCAAATTGACAATGGACGAAATGAAAACAGAAACACAAACGAATGAAATCGAAACCGCTGGTAAATTGTTCAACAAATAATCCTGCGTACTAACAAAATTCATTATTCTTCATTTATAATTCGAGGAATCAATCAGAACTCTCTGTATTTCAAAGCTTAAAATAATGCCAAATTATTTCACACACAATATTTGGAGAATACCAAAATTTGTGAGAAATTGTCAGTTATTGCTGTTTAATATTAATATTACCTCAAACTTCATATAGGTGCATAATTCTATATTACAAACCATATATTCCCCCTGCTATATAGCAATAATTAAGAATAGTATATATATACTTTTCTAAATTATAGCTTTAAACGGCATTTTTTTTTCGAACATTGTTATCAAAGTTCCATAATTAATGTCATGATAGAAATAAATATTTTATTTTCCAATCATTCACTGGGACCATGTTGTGGATTTATTATGTCTCGAACAGTGGACATCAGCAGCTGTGGTCTTAGTAGGTAAGCTTTTGGATTATTGAAGCTTTAATTAAAATAATTGCAAAATATATTTATTTATTTTATTTTTTGTTTGAAATGACCAGAGGTAAGGGTAAGATATGTTTACAGCTTTGGGAAGATTAATTCTCTCAGCGCTCGCTGAAGGGATAATAATTAAACTATTGTTTTTTCTTAAATATTGTTAATTTATTTCTGTCAGGTTTATGAGGAACACAGAAAAAAAAAACAGTTAATTTTTTTAAACTGAATATAATTAACAATAAATACAAATAATCTTGGAATCTGTTAGAACATCTTGGAATTTTCAAAATCAGAAGTGGCTCCCAAAGCCGTGGTCGAAGTGGTTTTTGGTGTACCCACCGAACCCTGAGAATAGTTGCTCACTGGTTCCATGATGGCCCTCATGGGAAGGGATCTCAACTTTATAAGGTACCTTGACAGGGTATGGTACCTCCTTGACTACAGGGTATGGTACTTCTTTCTCTACCTTGTACGGCACCGGTTTCTCCACTTTGTAAGGCACTGGCTTCTCTACCGGCACTTTCACGGTATATGGCACTTCTTTGATGACAGGAAAAGGAACTTCTTTCTCAACTGGAACGTGAACTGGGTACTTCTTTTCTATTGGGACTTTGACAGGATAGGGAACTTTCTTTTCGACGATGTAGGGTACCTTCTTTTCGACATAGACGTTGTAAGGTTGAGGTACCTCGACAGGATAGGGCTTGTCCACTGGAACCTTGACTTCGTAGGGCACCTTCTTCTCTACAATGTATGGCTTGGGGACTGGAACCTTGACTTCGTATGGCACCTTTTTTTCTACGTAGACCGGGTACGCTTGTGGTACGTATACCGGGTAAGGTTTATCCACTGGAACTTTCACCTCATAGGGCACCTTCTTCTCGACTTCCACCTTGAAGGGCTGAGGGATCTGCTTGGTGAGGGTGATCGTCTTGACGTGCTCAAGGTGCTCGTGGACGTGGGTTTTTGTGTTGTCATGGTGCTCTAACCCTTCGAAGCCGACAACTATCCCTAGGAGACAAGAAAAGACTATACTGGAGTACAACATCTTGCTGAGTGACTGGCAACTGTCTCTTCTCTCTTCTTATAGTAGGTCCCCTCCAGCGCAATGTATAATGTCAGAGCATGTAACATATTAGCCTTTCTTAACATCCTTAATGGGTAATGCATGGTGGGTCTGCAGCAGACTGTGAACCGTGAACTTCAAACGAAGTCAATGAAATCATGTTTTATTGAGGTGTACATCCTGTGACATAAACGATTAAATCGTTGGTGAAAATTAAAACGGTTAGATTTTAAAATTAACCATTTAGTTTCTTATATGAGTGCCTTCATATCAAAGACGGACATCTATCATTTTCAAAAAGTGGAGAAAAATTCAATTTTTGTTTTATAGGTTCAACTCAAACCGTTTCTGATTATTTTATTTGAGAATATTCAAGTTGTATCATGAAAAATAATCATTAAAATTAGTTTAAATTGAAGCTGTATTACAGAAATTTGTTTTTTTCTCAACTTTTTAAAAGTGACAGGTGTCTGCCTTTGATAGGAAGCCACTCATATGGAGAACCTATTTTGATTTCTATAATTAGTCAATAAACATAATGTGAAGTATACCTTGGACTATTGATTCGATGAATGAATATAATTGTTATCACTTTTAAACCATTATGATGTCAGTTGTAAGAAATTATTTATAGTAAAAAAAAATCATGACACAATGTCAATAAGGTACTTTTGAACAGTAGAAACTTTGGTTCCATAACAAATAGTTTAAAGTGAAAATGATAATATTTAGTTAAATAATGATTTGGTGTTAAAAAAAAGTATCGTTGGCGATATAACTATTTATATTTAATATCATTTTATTTTATTTTTCTTTCTTATGTTGTTTTTTTTCGTTCTTTTAATTTCCTTTTCCATTTCCTCTTTTGCGGATTCCTCCCTCTTCCTCCTATTTATCTTATCTCCCTTAATGATTTCGTGAAGATAAAGGAAGTGTATTATATTTTAATCATGCCTTTAAAATACACTTAATAAATTAAATATATCCTTGTCCTCGTTAAATTATTTATTTATTTGTTTTTTATTGTTGCCTCTACCCTGCAGGGTCATTGGCAACACTTCCTATTTATATTCTATTGTAGAACTTTATTATTTTTAAAAACTGTAAGATTTTTCCACGGCGTTTTCGTTGTCGCTGAGGTTTTCTTTTAGGCTCTGAGCCATATCGAGATTTTTCCTTACATTCTCAAATACTGGGCAGTCTTGAATGATGTGTTGGACAGTTCTTTGTACCTTACATCTCTCGCAAATCGGTATGTCTAGTCCTCTTAGTAAGTAGGCATGTGAAAACTCACAATGCCCAATTCTTAAGCGGCAGAGGACTGTCTCTTCTTTTCTAGAGAGTCGGTTGCTAGTTTTCCATTTGGAACAGTGGCTTTTTATTCCTTTTAATTTGGTTTCTTTTTGTTGCCATACGTTCTGCCACATTACCCTTTTTTTTTATATGATGTATGAAATCTTCTATCGGGATTTCTTTGATTATAGCTGTTGGATTTCTATCTAGCCTTCTCGCCATATTTGCTGCTTTGTCTGCCTGTTCATTTCCGACAATTCCGCAGTGTGAAGGAACCCACATGAATACTATTTCCTTTCCCTTTTCTGTCAGTTTCCACCAGATATTCTTAATAGATCTTGCCAGTGTAGTTGTCGGTGTTCTCTTTTCAATGTACAGGATTGCGCTCTTTGAATCCGTTACCACGACCCATTTGTTACTCTCCGTTGAATCAATGTAAGTCAAAGCTTCTCTAATAGCGATCATCTCTCCACTAAATACAGAGCAGATCTCTAAATACAGAGAAGTTTGAAGTACTTTTCTATTTGAGAGTTGACAATAGCACATCCTATTTCGTCGTTTACTTTTGAAGAATCAGTATAAATGATATTACATTTTTTATGCTTTTCCATTATTTCCAGAAATAGGGCTTGTGCTTCGATAGGAAGTAGCGTATCTTTTCGAGAGCTAGCCATCGAGTTCTCTATAACTGGCTAGGTATGGATCCAAGGGGGGATAATAATGTCTGGCACGTCCAAAAGAGATTCTAACCTTGATTCTGAGACATTTTCAAGAAATGTTTCTACGAAATGCTTTCCCCAGCTGTTGTCTGATTCTTCCCCAAACAGTATTTTATTTAATGTATGTTTTGGGCGTGTCTTAATTTTGAGACCGTACTTTAGGGTTAGATACAACCTTCTCAGATAGAGAGGAGGTTCATCTGCTTCAACATGTAGACTTTCTACTGGGGAGGTTGCGAATGCTCCAGTACAAATTCTTAAAGCACAATTGTGCACAACATCTAACATCATTAAAGTTTTCTTTGATGCTGTACCGTAAACACTTGAGCCATAACCTAGTTTGCTTTTGATGGTTGTGCAATATATATTTAAGAGGCTTTAAATTAGAAAATTAAATTTTCTATTACATGTTTGCTCTCTCACAATTAACAGTAACTAATTTATAAAGAATAGTTGTACCTAAGTAGTGTTCTGATATCATGGTCGATTCACGCACGATGTAAAAGAATAAATTATTATGCATTAGAATAGAAGCACAGTGCTTCATATTTCTTTTTAATGATGATTTTTGTCGGCACATCGTATCGGTACTGTTAGTGCATAAAATCGTATATAAAATTATTCAATTTTTTTCTATTTATGCCATAGATGAGATTTTGTAGCCTTTTACTGCTGCTATGGACAATAGTAGAGGGAAATAAAATATGAAATTTTACCAATAAATCATAAAGAAATAATGAGTGTGTAATGCTCTCCTGTAAAATACTCTATATTTATATAGGACCTATTGCACAAACAGTTGCGATATTTTCTTTAGTTTTTCATCAAGTTTAACGATTGAACCATAATTCTGAAGATTACCTTCTTCTCCAGGTTCAAATTTATTAAATTTATGGAAAAAGCTGTTATGAGGAAAAAAGAAACTTTATTGACAGGTAATTCTAAACTTGTACAATTAATGGTTATGAAAATTGCTCACAAAAAAAATTATTTAAAAAAAATCCAAGTAATAGAGTGCCACGTTACTGTTTAGTTTTTTAACATTGTAAAAATTAAAAATAAAAAATTAATCATCCCTTCCTTAAATTAAATAATTTTCCCACTCCTTTTTGACTTGGGGCACCGTATGTTATATATATGTGGGCTTAATATTGAATCGGAAATTCTCCAAGAACTTCCTTGTAGGTTTTTGCTTATAATAAAATATATTACAGTATATTATTTTAAAAATACAAAATGCAAAAATAGTAATTGCATATTCTTTCCGATATGCTGGAATACAAAAAATGTATTTTATTTTGTATTTAAAATACATAAAATGAATTTTGATGTATTTAAGAAATACTGTTCGTTTGTTCGAGAATTATTTTTAGTGAAAATCGAGCTTTGGAATGTTTTAAGGTCGATTGTGTTAAATTTTTAATTAAATTTTCTGTGGTTTGAAAAAATGTCATTTTTATTATAAATTATTCAGAAATAATAATAATTGTGAATATAATGATTCGTTCTCAATATTTTTTTAAAAGTATATCAACTGTCTTCTAATCTCACCATTTAAGATTTAAGTTCTTAAAACATATACCTATTTTTTCAGGAATTAGTATTTAAGTGCCACTTTATGAGACAGAATGGCGAGTCCCATCACCTTATTAGAAATAATAAATATAAATAGACAAGTAATTATAATGAGAATATAAACCTCCTTAAAATGCAAAGTATGCAGTAGAAGAAGAATACTTAGACCATAGATTACACCAAAACAGTAAATAAGGGGTATAAAAAAAAAAAAAAATGTGACATATTCTGGACTTGTTTGTTTTTTAAAATTAAAATTAAAATGCAAAATAATTTTAGTATTTTTTATATGAAATTCTTATTCTAAAAGTAATTTAAAATTCACTGTATATTAAAAACTAAAAATACTGGATATTTTAAAATTTAAATAATGTATTTTAAAATGATAATAATAATACCTTTTGATTTGGCCTGATTTTTAATATGGATTTTTAAAAATTAAATCAATAACAAAGCTATTGTGATTCATTTACTATTTTAACAGAGTGATTATTTATTTGAACTAGGTTTCAGACAAGCTAGTAAAGTAGGAAACAAATCCTCGACCCCTGACCACACATAGAGACTAATTTACTAAGAGACCTAGGTTCTCCGGCCTATCTGTTCGGATGCCAAGTGACATGTGCGTGTTGTTCTGCAATAGCCAAGGGTAAAGGGGGCCGCTGAATAGTTAAAAATGGCTATTCGTCAAGGTGAAATAGGATGACTCCTTGTGATACAGCTAGAAGATTACTTTGCCTTATGTCGAATTCAGCACAATTTTATGATTTGTACAGTTGATTAAAATACCTATTGAAAAAAATCGTGATACTAAATCACTAAGTATTTCGATTTTTTCCTCTCTGAAACCAGAACATTGTTCAATTACTATAACTGCATTTGCTGTTTTTTTATTTATTCTTTTTTGTAGCGATATATAAGGTAGAAATCTTTTGATACGCAGATGAAATAGCTGCCCTAGTCAAGAAGCCATTGAGAAAATCGCTAAGACTCTGCTAAGAGAGGCTGAGAAAATCGGCCTACAAGCAAATGAAGAAAAAACAAAATATACAATAATAAGCCGAAAATTCTACCTCAATAACAGGATCTGCGTAGAAGAAAAATCATGCCCGAGAATAGACAAAATTCAAATACCTTGGCACCACAATAGCTTAAACCATCGCTATAACTAACGCAAACAGAGCTTTCTTCTCCCTTTCAAAGGTGTTGAAATCCCGAAAAATCTAGAGAAATCTTATATTATGGGTGTGCAATGCTATGATAAAGCCAGTTCTATAACATGGCTGTGAGATCTGGACACTAACCAACACTCTAGAAAAAAGTGTTGAAAGATTTGAGAGAACAATTCTCTGCACGATAACCGGAGCAATCTGGAATCAGAGTACTAACGCTTGA